TTCAGAGAATTTGGGGAGGTGGGTTTGGGCATGTACACTTAGGGTATATAGGGTTTTCATAAAAACTGGTCAGGGTCCTTGGCTAAGAGGAGACGCTGCCTTGGGCCGTCTGGTGTAATAAACTGTACTCCACTATGTGCATTGTCCTGCTAAGTGAGTTTGTTTCCCAGAATGCATGGCTAGAACAGTCAAAGGAATTAAGAAATCATTTTATTTTACAACTTCAAATAAGATATTTGTTCAGGTTAAAAATAAATCGTATAAAAAAGGAAACTGAGAAGAGAGAAATAAACATCCTTCACTCTTCATCTGATTCCACTCCCAGAGGTTGCCACTATTAACTGTTTCTCTCTCATTCTGGAAAATGTGTGTGTGTGTGTGTGTGTGTGTGTGTGTGTGTGTGTGTGTGTGTATGTGTATGTTCAAAACTGAAGTACCATTCGCCAGCTTTTTACAAAAGTAAAATACATTTTAGAGTTTATTCCATATAATTTCCTGGATTGGGAAGTAAACAATAAACGAAACAATAAGTGAAGCAACTAAACAATAAAAATAAACAATATGCAGGTACATGCATAATATGTATATATACCTTTTTAACCCATGTCTCCTGTGTCTCCTGAATGCGGATTCTTTGCCACTGAGCCACTTGGAAATCTCAGTAAGTAGCTGAGCATAGTGTACAGTCCCAATCTGTAGTAATCCCTCTTATTCTTTTTTTTTGTAAATTATTTATTTTAATTGGAGGCTAATTACTTTACAATATTGTAGTGATTTTTGCCATACAGTGACATGAATCAGCCATGGGTGTACATGTGTTCCCTATCCTGAACCTCCCTCCCACCTCTCTCCCCATCCCATCCCTCAGGGTCATCCCAGTGCACCAGCCCCGAGCACCCCGTCTCATGCATCCAACCTGGGCTGGCGGTTTGTTTCACATATGATAATATGCACGTTTCAATGCCATTCGCCCAAATCATCCCACCCTCACCCTCTCCCACAGAGTCCAAAAGACTGTTCTATACATCTGTGTCTCTTTTGCTGTCTCACATATAGGGTCATTACTATCTTTCTAAATTCATATATATGCATTAGTATACTGTATTGGTGTTTTCTTTCTGACTTACTTCACTCTGTATAATAGGCTCCAGTTTCATCCACCTCAATAGAACTGATTCAAATGCATTCTTTTAAATGGCTGAGTAATATTCCATTGTGTATATATACCACAGCTTCCTTATCCATTCGTCTGCTGATGGACATCTAGGTTGCTTTCATGTTGTACCTATTGTGTAAACAGTGCTGTGATGAACATTGGGGTACACGTGTAATCCCTCTTCTTTTATGTTTCCACGGTTGCTACTGCCTTAATAGTCACCATTTAAGTGATCAGAAGGAAGAGAGGAAATGTCATTCTGATTCCCATTAACAAGGCCTCCTCTTTCAGCACAAAGCTCATCATAAAACTTTATATTCTGTCTTTTATTATGTTTTAGTTTCCTAATGCAAAGAACTGAAATTGTTTGAGATAATGAAATGTTTGGTTTATAAAAGTGTTCCAGTGGGAGGAAATTGAAATGTGATCCACATTTTCAGGAATAGGGAGGAAACTCTAATTACTCCTGCATTGGAGGCAGACTCTTTACCATCTGAGCCACCAGGAAGTGCCCACTCTGATCACTATTTTCCTTCAAATTGTATGAAGAAGATGCATTTCTTGCTTAGAGAACATGCAACTATTTGTGGTTAATTACTGCCCTCTGTTGGCAGCATGTTATATGTCTTCATTTATTTTAAGAGTCTTATTTAAGGTGAGAGTTAATCTCATCAATAAAATGAATAATTAAATCCCAGAGAATGGAGGTGCCTTGTCCAAACAGCATAGCTTCTTAATGACAAGGATGGAATGAGACCCCAGGTACCATGACCATCAGTCTTGTGTTGACTAAATTGAAAACTGCAATTATTATTATTATTATTTTATTTTTATTTGTCAGAGAATATTTTTCATTTTCAGAGTCAGAAACAGAATTTACAATAGTCAAAGGAATTAAAGAAATTATTTTATTTTAAAACTTCAAATAAGACCTTTGTTCAGGTTAAAAATAAATCATACAAGAAAGGAAACTGAGAAGAGAAAAATAAACATCTTTCACTCTTCATCTGATTCCACTCCCAGAGGCTGCCACTATTAACTGTTTCTTTGTCATTCTGGAAATTATGTGTGTGTGTGTATGTTCAAAATTGAAGTACTGGTCTCCAGCTTTTTATGAAAGTAAAACATATTTTAGAGTTTATTTTATATTACTTCACATAGATATAACTCATTTTTTAAGATGACCATTTTATTGACACTTCTAAGGGTTGCAGACAAATTTAGAATGTTCTTATTTGGGACTGCCTGACATTTCTAATAATTAATTTAGATTGTGCATCTCTTCTTGGATTCTTACAGAAGTGAGGCAGTTTTGTTCTCCTTTCATCAGGGGACATTTGATTTGGGTCTGTCTTATTACTGATGATGGATGTTAACTGAATCACCTGACCAAGGTGTTGTCTAAAGTCCTCTCCATTGTAAACTACCAGTTTTTCTGCTTCTGTCCACAGATAGGATTTGAGTGGCAGAAGTGCTCAGCAAAGAGACAAAATCAAAATAATTACCTCGTCATAACCTTTCTTTCAGGTAACAGGAAGATCTTAGATGCTAAACATCATTTTCTCAAAGTGCTGAGTGTCCATTTTCTGGCTTCTTGTTTAATTTTAATTTCTCTTTCTGGAAAAATGCGCAAATTAGTGAAGTATCTGCAATAGTTGCTCTTGGAGTTTGAGGAATGTTTTTGTATACTAAACAATACATGTAAACTCTGAACTTTTTTGCATGTAAAACTATACATGACACGTGGGGTGTAATAATAATCTTTTTATTGGCAATTAGATGAACATTGGACACAAGAAATGCTGACAGTGTTTTCTTAAAGGTTTTAATAAAGAAATCAGATTTTTAAAAATTACATTAAAATTTGTCATGTAAATTTCTATTTTAAGTTGTGATATTCATTAAAACTCTTCACTTTGCATTTGTATTGTAATAAAGAATTTTGATTGCTTTAGAGGAAGAAGTCTAAAAAATAAAGATTTTTAATGCTTTAATTTAATTTACATTTTGGACAAAATATTTCAAATTGCAACATAGCAAAATTATGTGATAATCTTGATTACCACATAATTATTAATTTTTCTGAAATAAAGGCAAGAAATATCAATGGTATGGAATAAATATATACTTATAAATTATGTATGTAATTAGTTTATTATTCAATTAAGCGTCACTCACTAATTAACCTAATGTCCAATATGCACAATAATAATTCAAATGGAATGTCTTACAATTTTGTCAGCTTTTGGCCATATAAAAATTACAGCTTTACAACATATCTTACAATTTCATCTTTATGATGTGTATTTGTTTAAGCAGGATAGAAGATATTTTTGTAGCACTTTTCTATCTTGCTTAATAACTTTCAATATTTAACATATATTCATCATAATGCTTGCTGCCTCCCACTTTATTAAAATGCAAATAGCATTTTCTGAATCATTCGTTACCAACTATTTGTGTGTGTGTTGTGTGCTCAGTCACTCAGTCGTGTCCGTCAGGCTCCTCTGTCCATGGAATTTTCCGGGCAAGCATATTGGAATGGATTGCCATTTCATACTCCAGGGGATCTTCTGAACCCAGGGATCGAACCCATGTCTCTTGAGTGTCTTGCATCAGCAGAGGGATTCTTTACCGCTGTGCAATCATACCAACTATTTATTGACGCTTCCAGGGTGCCACTACTGGGACTATTGCAGTTAACAAACCATATAAACATTAATGTTTTCTTGGAACTTATATTTTAGTATAGTTTTCATCAAAAGTGTCAGGGGATGTATTCAGTAGATTCTGGCATATATTATTTTTGCCCTCGTAATGGCACACACAAACCTTTTCAGTTTTCCTCATTGACATGACAAATCTTGCTGAATTAACAAGTGATTTTGGTAGGATGACGTCATAACTGTGGAAAAGTGGAAGTATCAGTTGCTCAGTCATGTCTGACTTTGTGACCCATTGACTGTAGCCCACCAGGCTCCTTTGTCCATGGAATTCTCCAGGCAAGAATACTGGTATGGGTTGTCATGCCCTCCTCCAGGGGATCTTCCTGACCCAAAGATTGAACCCAGGTCTCTTACATTGCAGGCAGATTCTTTTACCTTCTGAGCCACCAGGAAAGCCTCATAACTGTGGAAGGATTCATCAAATGACTTGGAGGAAAGGTCTAGCCTTGGAGAACATGTTTAGGGGGCAAAAAGAAGCAAAAGAATGATAGAAAAATGTCAATGCAGCAAACAGTATCCTCACAATTTAATGAGTAGAATTAAAAGAAATATGAAAGAGAGAAAATATAAACTGAATTTTGTTTCAGGTCGCAAGGTATTCCAGAAAGTAAGCAGAATAAGCTTGATTAACTGGTAATATAATATGTAAAATAAGCAATCACAAAAACATATCTTCTATTAATATATCCCTATGGAGACATGGTGATAAAAGACTGCTGCCCATTTTGCAAACACAGAAAAGTAAGGTTAATTAGAAATGCCATAGTTGCAAATTCATTTCCATTAATAGCAAAATCAATTTAGGAAAAGGTATTTTCATGGCATGATTTTTTTTTTCTGAGTTCTATTATGATTGTGTCAGATCCATATATTAGTGATTCATTACATGGTTTAGAAAATGGGGTGCCTGCCAAAAACCCACCTGGACTGAGAAGAATATCTACTACTACTTCTTGGGCAACAGTAATTTTTCTCTCTTTTGATGCTTGAAGTCATTCAGAACACAGGTGACATTCATTATAACAAGTCAGACTAAACAATGCGGGTGTAACGACAAAAACTGAAGAGCAAATGACAAGGTCAATCTACATTTTTCATGTTGAAGTCAGGGAGCGTACCTTTCCTTTCACGAAAATGGATGACAACTGAGTAATGCATTTACTTTTCAAATGCATTAAACAGTAAAGTGCATGGGCATTCAGGCTTAGTTGCCCATATGTCACTAAACATGGAAATCTTCTGTGAGTATTAACACTCTGTTATGGCACATGGGTTAGAGGACTGTTTTCCATCTTGAAACTTTTCTGCTGGCACTTTTTTCATGTTTGTGGATTAGTTTTACCACTCCTAACCAATAAGGATCCAAATTTACTTTACTCTGAAATAGTCTTAAATCTAGTCCATTTCACAGTCTCTCTTCCTCTTTAGAAGTAGTCAATATCATGAAGTTGGGTGAATTTTCCCCATTTATGATGCTGTACATTGCTTTATAAGCTATTTATACAAATGATTTATACTGCTGCTTTTCTAATGTGCATAAAGAGTATTATCCTCAACTTATTCTTTTGCAACTTTTTTCACATATCATTGTATTTCTGAAATGTATATATGGCTATATGTGTGGCTCTTCTATGTTAGCTTTAACTATGGTATCATATTCCATTTATTAAAACATATAATTAATTTTTTCCATTCTTCTACTGAGGAGAAGTAGATTAACTTCTTTGGACTTGTTTTGCTTCAGTGAACATTTTTACACATGACATCTTGTATTGATACAACTGTAAGCATCTCTTGGGATAGAAATGAAAGACTGGAATTTCTGGGTTGTGGAACAAGCAGCTTTTAATTATACAAGTTATTGTTCAAGTTCTCTACAAAGTGGGCTTCCTTGGTGGTTCAGACAGTAAAGAATCTGCCTGCAATGCGTGAGACCCAGGTTGGATCCCTGGGTTGGGAAGATCCCCTGGAGAAGGGAATGGCTACCCACTCCAGTATATTTGACTGGACAAATTCATGGACAGAGGAGCCTGGTGGGCTACAGTCCATGCGGTCTCAAAGAGTTGGACACAATGGAGCGGCTAACACTTTCACTACTACTTTTCTCCACAAAGTAGTCTCACCAGAGTGCTATATAAGAGTACTTATTTCTCTAAATGCCTACAAAAAAGTGTTATCAGAATTTCTAATTTCTGCCTAACTGATCTGTAAGGAAAGATGTCTTATTGTAGATATGATTTTATTTTTTAGATTTCTAGCAAGGAAGTGGTCATGTTTATTGGTTTACTCTTCTGAGAAATGCTTGTTCATATATTTTAAACATTAAAAATACTTGATTTTCTGTTTTGTTCTTGTTGAAACAGTAAGTATTCCTTGTATATTCTGAAAAAAAAATCCTCTAGGTTATATGGATTGAAGATTCCTTCTGCAAGTATATGTCTTGTCTTTTTAGATTGTTTCAGTATTTCTGTCATGTAAGAATTAATATTGACATAGTTAAATATATCAATCTTTTCCTTCATGGCTTATGTTCTTAAAATTTTATTTAAAAATTCTACTACCATAATATGATGGATATAACAGTATACACTTTCTCTAAATTTATACTTTTAAATCTTTGTCTTTGAAATCATCATCTTTGTCTTCTGTTTCAATATTTCAAAGTTCTTTTGGCTATTTTTGTCCTTTATTTCTTCCATATGAAGTTTAATATTTGTGTAACAATTTCTTTGAAAAGTAATATTGACTGGTATTGCGCTAAATTAATGAATTAATACGGAAAGAATAAGCTTGAACAATTAGGGGGCTGTACATGAGTGCTCTGGTGGATGTACTGACATTAGCTAGGAGACAGGCAGCTCATTCAAAGAAACAGAAGTAAAGGCTGGTTTCATGAACATGTGGCTGATTACTCTAGTGCAATTACACAGGACATTGGTTTGACACGCTCTATAATCACCTTGCACTCATCTCACACGCTAGTGAAGTAATGCTCAAAATTCTCCAAGCCAGGCTTCAGCAATATGTAAACCGAGAACTTACAGATGTTCAAGCTAGTTTTAGAAAAGGCAGAGGAACTAGAGACCAAATTGGCAATATCCAATGGATCATCGAAAAATCAAGAGAGTTCCAGAAAAACATCTATTTCTGCTTTATTGACTACGCCGAAGTCTTCGACTGTATGGATCACAATAAACTGGAAAATTCTGAAGGAGAAGGGAATACCAGACCACCTTACCTGCCTCTTGAGAAACTTGTATGCAGGTCAGGAAGCAACAGTTAGAACTGGACATGGAACAACAGACTGGTTCCAAATAGGAAAAGGAGTCTGTCAAGGTTGTATATTGTCACCCTGCTTACTTAACTTACATGCAGAGTACATCATGAGACACGCTGGGCTGGAAGAAGCACAAGCTGGAATCAAGATTGCTGGGAGAAATATCAATAACCTCAAATATGCAGATGACACCACCCTTATGGCAGAAAATGAAGAGGAACTAAAAAGCCTCTTGATGAAAGTGAAAGAGGAGAGTGAAAAAGTTGGCTTAAAGTTTAACATTCAGAAAACTAAGATCATGGCATCTGGTCCCATTACCTCATGGGAAATAGATGGGGAGACAGTGGAAACAGTGTCTGACTTTATTTTTCTGGGCTCCAAAATCACTGCAGATGGTGACTGCAGCCATCACATTAAAAGACTCTTACTCCTTGGAAAGAAAGTTATGACCAACCTAGATAGCATATTAAAAAGCAGAGACATTATTTTGCCAACAAAGGCCCATCTGGTCAAGGCTATTGTTTTTCCAGTGGTCATGTATGGATGTGAGTTGGACTGTGAAGAAAGCTGAGCGCCGAAAAATTGATGCTTTTGAACTAGGGTGTTGGAGAAAACTCTTGAGAGTCCCTTGGACTGCAAGGAGATCCAACCAGTCCATCCTAAAGGAGATCAGTCCTGGGTGTTCATTGGAAGGACTGATGCTGAGGCTGAAACTCCAAGACTTTGGCCACCTCATGCGAAGAGTTGACTCATTGGAAAAGACCCTGTTTCTGGGAGGGGTTGGGGGCAGGAAGAGAAGGGGACAACAGAGGATGAGATGGCTGGATGGCATCACCAACTCGATGGGCATAGTTTGTGTAGACTCCGGGGGTTTGTGATGGGCAGGGAGGCCTGGCGTGCTGCAATTCATGGGGTCGCAAAGAGTTGGACACGACTGAGCGACTGAACTGAACTGAACCGAGCTGATAATCACCTTGAAATTGATAAATTTTATATTGGTTATCCCAAATGTGTAGCTGATTCTGGAGAGTATATGGGTGCAGTTTCAAAGTATGGGCAGACAAGGTGGTGGGTGTGACAAGACGTTGTCTTGTCTTTGCTTTTATTTTCTCATGAAATAGGAAGTAAAAATCATTTATCTCCCTGTGCTGCATTCTGGGTTATATCTCAAGGTCTCATATTCAAGTCACCAATTCTCTCTGTGCCTAACATACTTTTGGTTGATTCAGTAAACTTTTAATTGCAGGGACTGTATTTTAATTTTAAAACGCTACTTGATTTTCTTTCAATTCTATGTTTTTTCATAATTCTTTGCTTTCTGATTTACACTTTTAGTTTCTCATTTGTCTGTAATAACTTTATAATTCTTATTTTCTGGGCTTTTTCTCTTCCTTTTTTTTTTTTTTCTTTTTTTATAGTTTTTGTTTGTTTGAAGATTTTAGGTCTCTAATCATGCTGGTGGCTATGTCTGCTGGTGATCATTTTGATGCTAATAATTTTTTTAACCTATTTTTAAGCTTCTTCTTCTTCTTCTTTAATTCCTATGGGCATTTCAAAACCATTAGAGTTGTGCAAATTTGATCTCAGACTCATTTAAGGAGCATGCACATTGATTTAAGTAATTGAGAGAAGCTTGTTTCCTGCTTAATCCTAGCAAAATATTCTTAGGATCTACTCATGCAGATGGATAGATATTTCCATAGTCTTCCTTTTCAGTAATTATGTAACTCTCTGCATAGTCTTAATTCTTTGTAGACACCTCGGTTCTAACTTTCTGTTTCATACAGACTCAAAACTTCATTCTTATCTCCATGGGTATGTACAACTCAACTCTTTCAATGCCCAGCCACACAAGAGCAGCTTACTATCTCCACTTCCTTTCTTGTTCCCCCTCACCCCACCCAGCTCTGGATTATTCACATTCTATCCTGTAAATACAGCAATAGATTTTCTCAGAAAATTTACATTTTTATTCAGCACTCAAGAAATTTACAGTCAAAACTTTTTGTTATTCTACACACTGCCTCAATCAGAATATTTCAATTGAATTCCATTAATTCAGGAATCTGTATTTTCCCTTCAAAACCAGACAACTACAAGGATAATTACAAAAACAAGGGTACATTTTTGAACACCAATCAAAGCAAAGTATTTATTTTCTGCCAGTCCCTACTCCAATATTTTGCTCTGAGCAGAAAATTTCTTTTTGCTTGGGGAGGAAAAGGAGACTGCCAGACAGCATGTCATCAAATTTCCTATTCCCCACTAGCAATCTTTTCTCATTCATAGCTGTTTTCTCAGTTGTTTGGATCATGGCTGAGTTAAAGCACACAGAATCTAAGATCTGTTGTACAGCATACTGCCTATAGTTAACAATAGTTGTACAGTATACTTAGAATTTTGGTGAGTCTAGATCTTATGTGTTTTTATCACAAAAAAAGAGAAATAATATAATAATAAGGGTAAGAGAAAACTTCTGGAGGTGATGGATATGTTTGCGGCATAGATTGTGATGATTTTCATAGATGTGAAATTAAATATGTATAGCTTTTTTTGTGTATAAACCATGTCACAATAAAGTGGTTTAAAAAGAATACTTACATTTTTGCAGTGTTCTATATGGGTTATAAATCATTGAGAGAGCTGTGAAGAGACTCTAATGTAAATTATCAATAGCAGAACTGTTGCAAAAGCATCAATAGCTCCTTCCATAATGAGAACTTGTTTATTGCATTGGTAAGTTGTCTCTATAAGGGCTTCCTTTGTGGCTCAGCAGTAAAAGAATCTGCCTGCAATGCATGTGATGTGGGTTTGATCCCTGAGCCAGGAAGATCCCTTGGAGAAGGAAATAGCAACCCACTCCACTATTCTTGCCTGGGAA